AAAAAATTGTTGAATTTAAGGTTACTATATTTATTTGTGAATTTTTGGCGTTAATTTTATATATTTTTCCTATTTTTTATTAGTCAATTACTTATTTTCGGGATTTATCAAAAAAAAAATATTTTAAAAAAATTGTTGAAAATGGGTCGGGTAGTTTATTTAAAGGGGGGTATATCTAGACTTTTTCGAATAATTTAGGGATATATGTGACCCTTTTCCAATGTCACGTGGCAATTTCATTTGACGCTTAACGTCTACAAGGGCATATCTAGACGAAAAGTTGGACGTCAAGGGCACGGTGAGCCAAACTTTAAACGGGATATATCTAGACCTTTTCGAATAGTTTAGGGGCATATTTGCCCCTTTTCCCATTTATTTATATTGAGAAGAAATAGGGATACATTAGTTAAAATATATTTTCAAGAGGAGTGTAAAAAACCAAGAAAAATATGACAGGGCAGAAGTAGAAAGCTTGGTATTCAAAGGGTGAATAATGTGGTTTCTTAGTAAAAAAGGTCCTTCTGGATTCTCCCCAAACTCAACTGCTGAGGAAGTAACCCAAGGAATTGATGGCTCTGCTCTTACTGCCATTGTTACAGGTTCCACTCTCTTGCTCAATTTCAAATGGGAAATGGAAATTGAACCTCTCCATTTTTTATTTTAAGTTTCTTGGTTTAGTATTATTGTTATAAAATATAAGCTTATAATATAAAGAGAAGAAAACAAGATAAGTAGAGGGAAAAACGGTCTGAAAAATACTTCAACTTTGATCGAAATTGATGTTACGATACCAAATTTTGGAAATAATCTTTTACCCCTGTACTATTTAATAGTGTATTTTAAAGGTATATATGTGCCTACGTGGACATCATAAATATTGCATCATTTTAAATAGTAATGTGTCCATGTGGGCACATATATACTTTTAAAATACACTATTAAATAGTGCAGGGTTAAAAGGTCCTCATAAAGTTTGGTATCGTAACAGCAATTTCGATCAAAATTGGAGTATTTTTCAGACCCTTTTCCCAAAGAGAAGACTATTCTTCTTATTCAAGTGTATCATACGTAGAGAATGATATCTCTATTTATAAGTAGAGAAATCACTTCAAAGGCCATTTTGATGAATGTCAAATTAATAGATACATCATTATCCCAGAAAGGTTCATATCACCTTGGGAACACACATACATGAATGTTGTTAGCTCATGAATAAACTAAATGGACAATTCACTTGTTCAATGGATTTATAACAATTATATTTTTTTCATCCATTTCAATTTATTTGTCTCATTTTAACTTATAAGACAGTAGGAAGATAAAGTTTTTAATCTCGTAGTATTACACATGTCACAGTTGAAAATTGAAATAAAAGAGTTGCCAAACTTTTTGGAACGGACTATAAAGAAATGTTGGAAATTAAAATAAAGAGCTTTTGCAACTACTAAAAAGGAAATTAATAGAAATTGATTGAAATGAGCGGAGTAATAGATTTTGCATAATGCAATTCTGATTTCTAAATTTCTTGATGAGTCAGAACTAAAGCAGAAATGGGTAAGTTTTGCCTTTTAACTCTTCAGGCCAATTGTAATATGAACTAGGATTTTTATTCGGGTGTCAAAATATGAAAAAGTAAACATACAAAGAAATTAAGGGGATTCAACGCATAGGATAAGTGCATTTAAGAAAAAAATACTTTACCTAACTACACAGTGTAATTTTTCGAGCGAAGCCTTGGATGGGATACATGTGGCTCCATAACTGTAAATTCATTTTGAATAGGATTCATGTATCCTATACTTTCTCAGTGGATATTCCATAAGGAAGAACTAGACTTGTTAATATGAATGAATCTTGTATGATCCTATGGAATGAAAAGAACCAAATAGACCAAAATGTGTATGAAGGATTCATGTAGATGTTGTAGTATTGGAAAATTGACAGTGTCTCAATGTTGTCTTCGTCTTTGTGGATACGTGCTACTATTTACACACTTTAACATCCATGATCGTAAACAGGAGCATCAAGTGGAATTGGTGCGGAAACTGCACGTGTTCTTGCATTGCGAGGTGTGCATGTAATTATGGGGGTCAGGAATATCTCTGCTGGAGAACAGGTTAAAGAGACGATAATTAAAGATGTCCCACAAGCTAAAATTGATGCCTTGGAGTTGGATCTCAGTTCACTTGTATCTGTGAGGAATTTCGCATCAAATTACAATTCTTTAGGCCTTCCTCTAAACCTGCTTATGTAAGTGCTTACTTTGAAGTCTCAAAAACCGAGAATCTTGTATTAGAGAAAGTACACATATCTGCTGTGAGTCTTATGCTCATTTCTATCCCTAAGTTCTCATAAAAGGTGTGACCGTACAGGCATAAACTATAGATGTATGTATGTAAATAAAGAAACAAGAGAAAAGTAAGAAGTTAAAAGGACATCAATGGTAGCTAACGGTTGTTATGTGTTCGTTCTCAAACACAGTATGCTCCAGGTCTATATTATTAGGTAACCTTATCTTACAGTTGAAATAGAATGTCTTGAATGATTAGAGAAGTGTAGAAATGAGATTACTTAATACATTAAGTTCCAAAATATATTCTATACAAATTCTAAGTCAAAGCAACTAGACTTTACACTACATTAAATAGGTTAGTCAATAAATATTGTAGGAAGCATCTTTGATGAACTGTATTTCCTTATTTGAGTGTAACATATTGAACTTATTTGGTTTATCTCTGGATTTTTCCTTCTCTGCTGTACATATGATAAGTTTTCCGTTCGCTGTGATGTCAATATAAATATGGAGATCACTTTTTCATACTCCACGATTCAGACGATGCAAAATGAACATTCTGTTTTTTAAAAGTGAGCAATTTATATTACTATGTATAATGTAATGCGACCTTTTGGACGGTTTCCGGCCTCTATTTCATGTTCACGGAAGATTCAGACAATACATAAGTAAAGTTATTGAAATTTAGAAATTTAATGTAATCAGTGATACTAATTTCTAAGATCAGTTTTCACTTATATTGACAACCCCTAATTATTATGTTAATTGTCTCAAAGAAGCGATAATTCATCATAGGTAATAATACCTGCATGTCCTATTTACTTTAAAATACTTAAAAAGGCGACAGACTGAATCCAAGGCTATTCAGATTTGGTTGCTGATATGGTGAAGTTCAGTGTGCTGATAAATAATCTACAGATAATATTATTTGAGCCTTCCTCCTACCACCATTAGGGTGAACAGGACTTGCATTCATATGCATGGTACTTGTGTTTTAGGCTGACTGATGAGCACAGAAGTAACTAGATAATTGCAATCTTGTGGCAAAGTAACAATGCAGGAATCATGGCAACCCCATTCACACTTTCGAAGGATAAGATTGAGCTGCAATTTGCAACAAACCATGTTGGTAAGATGCACAACATTTCCTACTACTTAACACTGAAATGAACTAGTCAATGAAAATGAGAATAGAAGGGCTGGGGATTTTCTATGGAGATGATAAATTAACACAAATATCCCCAGCCTTTGGGCCTTAACACTGGAATTATGAGGTCAATTTTGTCGCTAAGTGTTTATTGTGTATCAATCTATGTCCTGCTTGTTAGACCGACTGTGATTAACTTAGATGATTACCATGTATTGACATACAAAACTGGCTTAGTTTATGTCTACATTGTTACTTCCTTGTCTTTAGTGCTCATGGTCCTTAGTTTGTGAGGTTGTGTTTCCTAGAGTTTTGCATAATTGTACGACATCTTTTCTAGTTAAGTATCACTTAAAACGGGTATCCTAGTTGGTGTTTTTAGTGCTGAATGCTAATTGTTTTATTGTCATAGTTCTCCTTCGTTTGTTAAGGTTCTATATTCTTAGATTTCTGCATGACTTACTGACATCTCGTGTGCAAATTATTTTTTTGGTGATATTGAAGTCAAATTGCATCACATTAAAGGATGATTGACAGAGTATATTTTATTGCAGGCCACTTCCTTTTGACAAATTTATTGCTCGACACCATGAAAAAAACAGCTCGTGAGAGTAGAAAAGAAGGGAGGATTGTTAATGTCTCCTCACGTCGCCACAAATTTTCTTACAACGAAGGGATTCGGTTTGACAAGATTAATGATCAATCAGGGTGAACATGCTATAGGCTGACATATCTTTTGAGTGCTAATTCTTTAGTTGTTGAGTCTTTGATTTTCTTCCATACAAATTTGACTAGTGTATATATTAGTGTCCCACAATGGCAGAAGATATTGTATACACTGCAGAGAGTATCAGTAAAGAAGGAACTTATCTTTGCGATCTCCCAATCTTCTCTCATTAGGACTGAGTATCTGCGAGAAACAGGATCTAATTTCCTTGGTTGTCTTATCATCGACCATGTTGGAATGAAAAAACATTATAACCCTGCTACTTCCAGTGACTACTGGAGAAAATTTACGCCCTTCACGAATTTAAAATATTTGGAGAATAATTGTCCCTAATTCTCAGTGATGAGAGGGACAAAAATGTTTAAGCCAAAGTTATTGATCATTTATGTGCAGTCATGAGGAGTGTTTACATATGTTGTTTCCAGAAAATAGATGAAATGTGCTTATGCCTAAAAAAAGTTGTCAAAGGTCTTTGACATATGTGGATGAATGATCCTCAGGTATAATGGACTGTCTGCATATGGTCAGTCAAAGCTTGCGAATGTGCTGCATGCCAATGAACTTGCTAGACATCTAAAGGTACACACTGATCAAGTAAGCTGTTAAATGTGTTTGAAGATTGAATTTTCCGATACATTTGATAAAAGTATTCTACCAGACTATACAGCTATGTCAATTAAATGTCAAATCTGAGACCTAGTAATTGTCAAATGGATTTACCATGAACTGAAACCTCCTCAACTGTAGATATTTTCCTGGAAAAGATTGAGGATTGTAAGCGGAAAAACCATAAAGGTAGAAGTCTTTAGGCATTGTACTTGCTGCTACACAAGTACATAAAACAAAACCTATAAATTTCAGCATTTGCTACAAATGTTTTCAAGAAAGCATCATCGATTACAGTGTCTGTCAATGTGATATTGCGTTGTACACTTTTTGAGGTGCAATTTTTATCTTTACAAACATTAAAGTCCCGTACTCCTAGAATAGACATTAGCACAAGTTGTTCCTTCTTCTTTTCTGATTAGACATGAACTAGTTGTATTGAATCCTCTCATTAACTAATATTACCAGGCTTACAGAACCTTTTGGTACCTTGCTTCACAATGGTATCTAGTATAAGTAGATGATAAGTTCTTTATCTATTTTAAGAATAATAATGTGGACATTCCCTCTAGGAGTAATAATGTGGTCATTTTCTTGAAAAGGATGAGGGCGTGGAGATTACAGCTAATTCGCTTCATCCAGGAGCCATTGCCACCAACCTTTTCCGTCAGCACAGCATTATCAGTGGTAATCTCTTTGACTTCTGAGTCATGTGTTCTGCCTATTTCTGCATGGGTGCTACATGTAAAGTACCACTGGATGGTATACTCTTGATTGTTTGCATTGTGCTCTTGCTTCGTGACTTTATAGGTGAGGAATTAAGTTAAAATTGCTGGTGTTGAGAATGAACAACACCTGTCAGATGATGCTCCCTTGAGCTCGTAAGCATCTAACGAGCCAAATCTGGTTCGAAGCTGTACATAGTGGGTCTTCTCAGTTGCTTGTTTCTGACATGTGTTCTTATGTCTTGTTCTTCACCAACGCTTGAAAATTTGTTATTTACATTGTAACAGAAACCTAACTGGATATCTGCTAGTTTTATGAGTTTTATATACATCTTTCATGATTTCGTCAATATCTCACCTCAAATTAATAGACCCTGAGAAATGAGAATAATGGTTAAGTGGTTTAGAGTCTTGTGATTATCCTTTATGCATGAAGCTTGTTTACATTTTACTTTTTTTTTTCTTTTAGTTTTCAGAAATGTTTAATCCACTGTACTCTTTTATGTGATGCAGGCATTGTGGATGTCATTGGCAAGCATGTGATGAAAAATGTTGAGCAGGTAATGTTGGAGTGCTGGAAGTCCTATTGATTTCTTTTGTTTTAGACTGATAATCTTTAACAAACACACAAGGGCCACGAAATGCTAGATATGTGATTTCTAGAACTTGAATTTAACGTCGAAATCATGATTCATGAAGATTATCTATAGTAGTGACTTTTGTCACCCTTTTTTCTTTTTTAAAAAGAAGAGTACCTCATACGCCCTTTCTTTTCATTGCTTCTACTGTTATAGTTTCAATTCCACGCCTTTATGAAAGCAGCTAGCAAATCTAGGGCACCTGGTAGCTGTGAGGGTCAAGGGAATGAGATCTCTTTGACATGCATGAATTAGTTATGACATTGAATCCTTAGTTTTGGCTGTTGCACCTCTTTCTGTTTGGTAGGCAAGCAATGTTTGTCTGCATAAGTTTCTTTATCTATTTGCTGATGTGAAAGTGGTCTCTGCAGGGAGCTGCAACAACATGTTATGTGGCTTTGCATCCTGATGTTAAAGGTGTAAGTGGCAAATATTATGCAGACTGCAACATAGCTGAGGCAAGCCCCCAAGCTAACGATGCTGGATTGGCAAAAAGATTGTGGGATTTTACCACGAGTTTAGTTCACTAACATAACATGCAATTTTAAATCTTGCTTTCGTTTAAAGAGGATTTGCACATTGCTGTGCTGTGTATCTTGTGGTTTGTAAAGCATTACAACACTGGGAATCTCAAACCAGGAGGCCTTTGGCTCATTCCATGTCGTGCATTTGGAGCATATAGCCAGTTTCTTTTAAATTATTTTGTAAGGGGTTGCCATACCCATTAAAAAAGTCAATTAAGTGGTTATTTTACCTCAGCCTTTTGGTTAATGCATAAGAAAACGTAAACAAGTTTTTTTTTTTTTTTTTTTTAAATTTCTTTTTAAAAGGAAATTTTGAAT